TCAGATGTAATGTCAATCGACGTCTCCAGGAGTCTTGATCTATCCCCTATCCTTCTCTTCATCCTTTCCTCTATCACTCATATTTGCTCTCGCTCCAACTCTCTATAACCCCTTGCGTGCTAGTGGCTTCCCGCCTTACTTGGGGTAAAATGCTTAAAAAAAAAAGAACAAAGTACATTGGTATCCAAAAGTGTAAAGGACTAAAAAAATGATTAGAATATTCAGAAAATGTGCGTGGGATGAATGAGAGCAGTCGGATTCTTTCTTCAAAAGACACAATTGAAACACGAAAACAATGTATGACAAACACGTGAACAAGTCACCAAAACTGAGAGCACTGGTCTAGTCAGAGAGGAAGATTTAATATTCTAGCACAAAATCATCAAAGTGGGACTCACTAGGAAGATCGAACTAACCGGTCAGAGAAAGGATACATGGGAAGATAACGTTTAACCCTACACTTGAACAAATTAAGACTGTAGTGATCTGGGAAGCATCGTCTCGGGAGTCGGTTCCACAAAGCAGCAGTTTCATGGGAAGAAGCTGCTCGATGTGAACTTACTTCTCACCAATGGAATACGAAGAGAATAGGTGTGGTTCGCTAGAATGTACGTGTCTTTACCGGAAATGAGAGAACTAAGAAATGTAGTTCGTATGAACTCTTTCCGTGGAAATAACGATATAGCAGCGAGTGAGATGAAAATAAATATAAAAATTACACTTTAAGACAATAATTCCCAACATGGAGCGCATGCCCCACCGGTGGGGCATGGTAATATTTTGGTGGGGGGGCATGCGTAGGATGTGCACCCTTTTGCTTAGTATATTAACAGAATAAAGAGGCAATTCAAGAATGAGTCATTAACAGTGAATTGTTTTCTAGTGGTTCTGAGTGAGTGTGTGGGTGTTAATACATACGATGCATATACAGTATGCATACATAAAAATAGTTTGTGTGTATGTACATGTGCAACTGGCAAATTCAACCACCGTTTCAAGAAATTTGTTCTTATCATTCCCATCTTCATATCTAGCTGAATGTTTAGCTTTAGTGCTGTAAATGATTTGTTATTGAAGAGAAGAAATCGACTGGATATCACTAAACAAGGAGACTTGACACTTAAGCTGACTAAATTGGTGCCTAATATAAAATCTCTCTGTAGCAGGCATGACGCACAAGGATCTCACTAACAGTCATTTTGTGATTAGCTCAAATTTTATTTTGCGTTATTATTTCATGATTAAAAGAGTCAAAGTATATTACAGATTAACAGAATAAGCTTTCATCCAAATATTTTATATTTCTGCCTTTCAATTGTCTATTATATGTTTTGAAAATATATATATTTAACTGCCTTTTTGTTTTTTTTTAAATTTTTCTCGTTCATGGACGCCATGATCTTTGGAGGCTTGTTTAGAGACTAAGTTAATGACATTTTTAAACTTCCTTCACGTGAATTGCAGGAAAACTTTAAATATGTAAGAAGATAATGTAATATGTAAGAAAAATATGTAATATTTGTAAAATTCTGGTGAAATAATATTTAATTATTTCACTAGAATTTTAGAAATACCAAGGTGAGACATGGCCGAAAATCAGTTGGGAATCACTGCTTTAAAGAAGTAATTTTCTCGTTTTTAACTTTTAGTGTGCAAGTTCGTGCAACTCTTTCCCGACGCCTTAAGACTTAAAACTAAAACTACTGTAATCGACTAATGACTTTGAAATAGTTGATAAAAACCGCGCCAAATTCTCATCGCGCCAACCAGATATAAATCTATCTAGACAAGTTCGGGAACCTTGACAAACACAGTTATTTATGGCCACGAAAGCAATAAGTATGTATAAAAATATAAACAAGTCACACCTAAACACTCATCTCTACTGCAGGATATTATAAGCTTGTTGCCTTTTCGGAGCTTTGTTCTGCTTTCAAATCGGCTTCATTTTCATTATGTCGGCTACGCACTATAAACTTCCCGCCATTCTTTTATACGGAAGTGAGTCATCAATAAAGAGGAGCTGTACAGAGACCCACCGACCAGCATACCAAAGGATAGTGACACCTATGTCATGAGAGGATCGCAGATTTTAATGACGAACACGAATCGATTGACTCCCGTGTGCCTCCATCCACTTTCCTCGTGTTTGCGTTGAAGGAAACAGATTCAGGGAAACTATCGATAGCGCGTTCGTGTCGCAAACCATTCGAGTGATCATACTTATTCGTCGTTACTCAGGACTCCAATTAACAATTCCGTGTCATTGTACCGCAAGTACTTCCAAGCTTACAGTACGTGACATTTCGAAGCGAACACCCATCTAGCTGCTGGCCAAGTTCGACGTTGCTTAACGTTGGTGATTGTATGGGAACCAATGTTTCAACGTGATGTGGTCGTAAATCCGGAATGGTTCCCCATAATTATGATAGTGTCATTAAATCGCTCACTTTCTGACTATAATTCTTGGGTTCAAATCTCACCATGGTCGATTTGTCGGAGAGGTGACATCTTGATGCTATGGGCATTAGGAGGCGATCCCAGCGTGCGACGGCACCCTTGAAAACACTGCCACGGGTTAAACCCAAAACTGTTTGGAGGCCGTCGATGGTTGTGCATATATATATATATATATATATATATATATATATATATATATATATTGTTATCAATCTCCTTCGTATACATCCTTGTGCAACTTAATTGAAACAGCTGATTTAGTTTCCTTTCTTTCACCATATGGTCAGTTTTAGACCCACTGGCATGACAGGGTATGATCGATTTCTATTTTTCCTCAGATTAGGTCATTTGTTTTAACCTAAAACCTTGAACAATGTTCATAAATCGCCTCGTCTGATGAAGACTTTCAGATGGGTGTCATTCATAGCGCAAAATGCGTTCAAAAATATCTAAACTGTCAGCTGTATACAACCGCTTTCTCGTATAAATTGTTAAAAATAGCTTACATCGATCTTCGTGGGCTGGAGCAACAGAATCACAGAAAAGAACTTTGTACCAAATACCAGAAAGCACATCACTGGAAGACTGGCCAGGCTCGTCTTTGATTAACGTCGGTGATCGTACGTGAACCGATAAGAAACAACCACTTTAGTTTCCTTTCTTTCACCATACGGTTAGTTTTAGACCCCCGCCCCTGACAGTGTGTAATCGATTTCTATTTTTTTCCTCAGATTAAGTCATTTGCAGTGGTGCGCAGTAATATGAATCTATTTTCGGGGTGTTTGCTGAAATTTGTTTAGCCTTGAAAAATATTGCGTCATCCTTGATTGCATCAGATTTTTATCACACCCTGACACTATTATTAGCTGTCCTACGGCCATTTTCTGCGATGGACGTTACTCCAAGGAAACGTACGAAAATTATAACACTGTATGAACACATTGGCAAGCTTTACCAGTGAGCAAATCAAAGTACTATAGACTGGCCCGGAAACTTTCCTGATTTAAATCCAACTGAGAATCTGGGGTCAATCTGCAAGGAACGACTTCGTGGAATGGGCATAAAAAGTACTAATATGTGCATTGGGTCAGGTTTCATTGGAAAAAAAACAAAAAAAAGTAAATAATAATGGAATTATTCGTTTTGGTTCAATTAATTTGCACGCGGGTGGATATTCTGAAACTACATTACCCAAGGTACTTGTATAAGGATATTTTATTTTTAATCAAAGGGAATCCCCGGGTGACATAAACCCTCCACTGATTTTTATTTCCCTTTGATATAAATTAAATTTAAATTTGAACCAGGGAATGAATCCTATATATTTAGCGCAAACTCACCCACAGAAATGTTTTTCCCTTTGATTTAAATTAAATTTTAATTTGAACAAGGGACTGATTCTTATCTAAAACATGGAAGGAGAAAGCTAGTAAATGGAGGTCACATCGGCAAGATCATTTAGCAATATTAAAATGAATCATTTTTCCCCACAAATTATAACAATGATTTGAAATCTATCATCATTTTCTTACAAAAAGAAAATGTGTGATACGCACCAGGGTGCGGGTAATTCGGCTCGTACGTTCATCAAATCTCATTCAGTATCCTGAGTGACTTTTGAGGTTTGTATTGCGTGAACATTAAAAAAGAAAGAAAAAAAAAAACACATCGGAAGTCTTTACTCCACGGTGAAACACCCACAACCTCTAAATTCTTTAACCATCGATATTTTATTTACTGTGTTCTTTTACTTTTTTAAAAATGTTATTAAATGCTAGTGTACCTGTGCCATCACAAATGACGGCGATTGTTAGAAAGTTTTAATATTCAGATGCAATAAAAGAAAAATCTAGAAACAATGTATTGTGATTTAATTAAACGGAGATAAAGAATTTACAACTAAAATAGAGGCCAGTGAACTATTTAATTAGTCCTTTCCTATTCTAGTTTCTAGACGTTCAATGATTCCATGATTCATTGATTCCTACTGGCATTATATAAAGCGCTTTTTGCTCGATATATATTTCATGTTAAACAAATTTATGGGTTTAATATAATGGAAACGTCTCTCGGAAGAAAAAGATTAGCAACAAAACGACAAAGGCGGTGGCGCCAAAGCCTATTTCAAAACAAGGTTGTAGCAAGGCGATCACATAATAGTAAAGGTATCTGAGTACCTCACATGAAAAGTTTGAACAAATAAGTTTTCAATCTAAAATACATAGGAGTAAAGCATCTGATTAAGTAGGCTGCCTG